CAAGATGTTTTCATATATCATGTATTGCAATGACTATTGTGAACTTTACATTTGCAAAAGTAAATTATTCAACAACTTAAAAAATATTGATAACAACAAACTTAATTCATCTGTGTCCTCCAAACTAAATAGTCTTTTTAAGTTGGTAAAAAAAGTTTAACGAAGGTATGGTATGAGGTCATGTTTTCACCCGTTTGTTTGTTGTTAGTTTGTTTTTAAGTATTACGCAAAAACTGCCGACAGATTACCATGGAATGTGGTGGAAGGATGTGGTACGGGTCAGGGAAGAAGCAATCAGGAGGCTGATCCAGGAATACCTTTTCACTCTTTTTCAGGCGTTTTTTAAAAAACATTTTCGTTACATTTCTCAGATAATATTTGGGAGGTTGATGGGAAAAGAAATGTTCAGGGGACAGGCGTTGACGAGTGTGTGCAAAGTAGTGCGGATAAAAATGGTTAGCACATCTAGTGACTTTCAATGTGGTTTCATAAGGGGACTGTTGTGTTCTGAGGTGGAGGTATATGCACTCTACTGCCATTCCAGCTCCCTCTCCTCACACATTCACAGCCAATTCCTGGGCTATTCCCCAGCTCCTCCAGCAGGGGGCAGTCCTCACAATGAGCCTGTTCTGACCGGCCTTGCTGCAGGGAGGATGGTGCGCTTCTTTCTCTGTACATAGCCGGCTGTGTCAAGAGCCGGTGGGCGGTGCAGACCCCTGGAGATGCGGATGCTGACCTGAAGATGCGGTAGTTGGGTGCTGCTATGTTTGGTATTTTGAACGTGAAACAAGACTTCGAGTGCTTCCTCGACTGCGGTGGAATGAAACCCCTACATGGGATGAGGAGACGCTCTTTGTCTGCAGGACCTCTGAGCAGAAACAAACAATAGATGCTTTATTTCCGGTAAACAAGCAGGAGTGTCCTCCCTGTCTCTGCAGCTGGAGTGGGTTGAGATGTGGCCTCTTTAAGGACACTTCTTCAAACGGATGTGTTCACATTCCTGTCTAATGATCGTTGGTACGAGAGAAACACAACAGCAGCTGTGACTGTGCGTAAACGTCCTCTGAGCTGCTGAGCTGCTGACTGAGTGTGAGAGATGACATCCACAGAGAAGAGAGGCAGCCTGATGAGATGTGTCAGCTGTGATTAACATCAGAGGCCTTAGGGAGGAGGCTGTGTACTGGACCTCACTGACAGGAGCTTTACATTTCGTCTTTATAAACATCAAGCTGCAGCATTGTATCTGTCTGTATTTAAAACCGCTTTATTCGAAGAGGTTCTTGAATCCACCATCATACAGAGTCACTGATCTCACTTGTTTCCGGAGGTAGATGCTCCTCTCCCTGACGCAGCTCCTGTGGAGGCTCCATCAATATTTCTGCGCCATGTTCAGCTCAGAAAGGCTCACGGTGCCGGATTATGTCAGCCGGCTGCAGAGAGGGAGGAGCGGCTCCGGCTCCGGCTCCGACCACCAAAGGCCGGTGTCCCCGGGCGTCAACGCCGACGTGCAGGCGGTGTTGAGCACCTCGCTCCCCGCCCTGCGCGCCGCCATCGGGAGGCTGAAGTCGGCCAAAGAGTCCGGGGATTCGGAGGAGACCCGCAGGGGCATTGCAGAGATCTTCCAGCTGGTGGAGGAGGCCTGGGTCCTGCCCACCGTGGGCCGTCAGGTGGCAGAGGAGATATGCAACAGGGTCCGGCTAGAAGGAGGCCTGGAGCTGCTGCTTCAACTCCACCAGACACCTTCTGTGGAGATCATCTATGAGTCTGCAAAACTGCTGGAGCAGATACTGGTCTCAGACAACAGGTACAGAGTGGAAGAAGAGCCAGAACTACAGCTCTGCAATGAAACCTGTTATCTCTCTCTATATATTATTAATATTACATCATTAATGTTTCATTTCTGTTGTCAGACATGCGCTGTTTGCACATGAATAAACTAAACACACTCAAATATGATGCAGTACAGTACAGTACTAGGTGCTACTGCCATAACATCTGTAGAACCCAATAATAAAAAACACATATTTTCGTATAATGCAACTACAAAACAAACTCAAACTACAGCCACTACAATGATCACGTCATTTAGTCAACTTCTCAACAGAGGTTTGACATTGTAAAATGTACAAATGTTTCAGGCAGTATTTATTAAGTTAAACCTCACTTTACAGCTCATCTTAATCATTTAGTTTTCTTTTTCTTTTTTTAAATTCATCTATAAGATGTTTAGTTTGCAAAATGTCACTAAACCTTAATACTGGCATCTTGTAATGTACTTTGTCAAACCTACATCCCAAAACTAAATATATTCAACCAGAAATGACTTAAAACAGAAACACAGGAAATCCTAATACATCACCTACAAGTTTGTGTGATTCATGTTCACATTTCTGTTGACAGAGATTACATTGCTCGTATGGGACTGGGGGTCATCCTGAACCTGACTCAAAAGCAGGAAGATGCCCAGCTGGCTCGCAGCGTCTCTGGGATCCTGGAGCACATGTTCAAACACACAGAGGAGACGTCCGTCTACCTCATGTCCAATGGTGCCCTGGATGCCCTCCTCTTCTGGTGCCGGGGCACGGATCCCACTGTGCTGCGACATTGTGCCGTGGCCCTGGCTAACTGTGCCATGTACGGGGGCCACCGCTGCCAGCGATTGATGATTGAAAAACAGGCGGCCGAGTGGCTTTTCCCTCTGGCTTTCTCCAAAGAGGACGAACTTATCCGGTTCCATGCATGCCTGGCTGTGACTGTGTTGGCCGCAAACAAAGAAATTGAGAAGGAGGTGGTGAAATCTGGGACCTTGGAGCTGGTGGAACCGTTCATTTCGTCCTTGGATCCGGATGACTTTGCCCGCAATTTATTGGACAGAGCAGACTGCATGCAGGGGAGGACAGCATCTGATCTGCAGCACTTTCTGCCTTTACTGGATGGAACAAGAGTGGAGGGAAAGTGCATTGCAGCCTTTTACTTTTGTGTTGAGGCCAGCATCAAGTCTCGTCAGCGCAACACTAAGGTACAAGCAATGTCCGCTTTCTATAGAACCCAACATTTTAGCTTGTACTGTCTGGTAGCTGTGTTGTGAATGAGTTTTTTCCTCTGTTTCAAGATATTTCAAGAGATCGGAGCAGTGCAGGGCCTAAAAAGAATTGCCATGTACTCCAGTAATGGTACAGCCTGTTCCCTCGCCAAACGGGCACTGAAAATAATGGATGAGGAAGTTCCAAATCGCATCCTGTCGTGTGTTCCAAACTGGAAAACCTGTGAGGTGCAGAAGTGGCTGCAGCAGGTTGGGTTCAGTACCTTCTGTGACCGTTTCAAGGTGAGTCAGATATCGAAAAGTCATGGATCCACTCATCCTTTCCTCCAGCATCTGTCAGCAATGTGTCTGACACAGTTCATGATCTTATGCAGGAGCTGCAGGTGGATGGAGACCTCCTGCTGAACATCACAGACCAGGATCTGAACAGTGACCTGGGAATGACTGCAGGCCTCACTCGAAAAAGGCAAGTGGTAAAAACTCATTAACACCTCAACCTGAGCAAAAGCAAAACCTTCACCTTTTTCTTCACCTTTTCAATTCCCCTCCAGATTTCTGAGGGATCTGCGTGTGTTAAAAACATATGCCAACTACTCCACATGTGACCCAAACAACATGTCTGACTGGTTAGTTGATGTGGACCCTTGCTTCCGTCAGTACACCTACAGTCTGGTCCAGTCAGGTGTCGATCGCAACAATGTCCAGTACGTGACCGATCAGCAGCTTCAGCATGACTGCCACATCGACAACGGAGTACACAGAGCCATAGTACTGTCTGCCAGTCGCCGGCCTTTGAAGCCATGTTTCACAGACGCCCAGCCTGCAGGGCCCGACGTATTCATAAGCTACCGTCGAACCACCGGCTCCCAACTGGCCAGGTAAGAACTGAATCGGGACTAGAGGAGGTGATTCAGGAAGAGAAATTAGCTTAATTAAAGCTAGTTTAAAAGTGGGAGATTTAAAATTCAGTCAGTATTCATCCTTTCTTTTCTTCCTTCCCTGGTCCAAGCCTTCTGAAGGTTCACCTGCAGGTTCGAGGATACAGCGTCTTCATAGATGTGGAGAAACTGGAGGCTGGGAAATTTGATGACAAACTGATCCAGAGTGTCCAGCGAGCTAGCAACTTCATCCTGGTCCTGTCAGCCAACGCGCTCGACAAATGCATGGCTGATACTGACATGAAGGATTGGGTGCATAAGGTCAGTAGTTTTAAATTTTCAAAATATTGAAATGTCACTCATTATATCTCACTTTTGCTTAAAAGCCTCAATCAAGATATTCCACATCTATGTTGATACAACAGCATTAGTTGGAATAAACCACATCAGATTTGTGGAAGGTGCTTTTATATGTAATTACATTTCAGTAGCTCATAGACTCTGTAGAAATGATGATTTACTTTGCAGGAGATAGTCACAGCCTTGGCTGGAAAGAAGACCATAATCCCTGTGATAGATAATTTTGCGTGGCCAGATGCCATGTCTCTGCCAGAGGACATGAGAGCGGTTCTCAAATTCAACGGCGTCAAGTGAGTAACAGATTTACTGTCTATTTGGGTTGGTACATTCTGGTGTTCACCATGTTTAGTGCAACTGACTTCATAGATATGATGCTGTTAATCTTTCACAGCCTCAGATTCCTCAAGTGAAAATTTGATCAAACCAAGTTTTAACTTTCTATTATTTGTGATTGATGTTTAGCAGATCCGTAAAATCCGTCAGAGAAAAACAAATTTGTCTTCAAATCCTCAAATACCTGTTCCCTCCTTTTAACACAGATGGTCCCATGAGTATCAGGAGGCCACCATCGAGAAGATCCTTCGCTTTCTGAAAAGATGCCCAGACCAAGTCGACGGCCCAGACACCTCCAAAGGGCAGAAAAAGAAATAAACGAACATATACGCAGCTATAATAACTCAATGATGCCAAATTCCACATGGCCTATGGTGAAACGGCCGGCAGCTTTCCTTGCTCTGCCCAAATGCATGTGAAGTAAATTTGATGACCTAATATAATTAGACTAACAATAATAATAATAATAGCTTGAATTTATATAGCGTCTTTCAAGACACCCAAGGATGCATATGTCTGTATGGACAAAAGAGAACTAAATATATTGCAAACAATACACTGAATTGAAAAAGGGAGTTCACATTGTACATAATAAACTCAAAGCCTTTAATGTTAGTATCATGCTGCCGTATATGTAAATTCAGGTACGCCTTCTGTTTCTCAGGAAAATAACTGATATAGATCTGCTGTCACAGACACCCAGCAACATTATCAATAGCATTTTCTAAGACTTCCACTGACACCGGCATCCTCATTAAAGCAACATGTCATCTTTTGATTAAGTCACATGCAACATTCATATGACGTCTATTTTTTGTTTTTAATTTCGGGTCGTGGCAGAAAACAGGCACAGGTAACTCCTGGAAAATTATGACTCAGTTTGTTTTACAGTGTTTTCTTGGCTCGTTGCAACACAGTAGCGTAATATGTAAAACTGTAATTAATTGACTTGAGATTTTGTCTGCCAGTGTTAAGTCTGTTGAGTAATAACTCGTAATAACTTATCTGCTTTTGCAGTTAATATCTCATCATGTGAGTAAGTAAGTGTATTCAATAGAAGAAATCCAGAAATATGACACAAACACCAAGGTTTGTGAAAATATAAAAGAGAAGTGGTGGATAACTTCTGCAGCTGTACACCTGTGACGATCGATCAAAAAAAAGAAAAAGAAAAAAAACATTGTTCTTTATTGAGGCTGAAATAAAGACATAATGAAACATTTGCAAATTAACCAAAGCAGTTGTTAAGATGTACTGGTCACATGTTTGTTTTTAATTGATTTGATTTGGTTATGCCTTATTATTATTTGCCTTCCATGTCCTCATAGCATCTGTTAAAAAGGCTCATTGACATTTTTTATACTTTATTTTTAATCTTCAAATTTTTCAATGTTTTTATTGTAAAACAAAGATAATTTGGTCTCTTTATTTGAAACATGAAAACAAATAAAATGTATTACAAAAGTAATTAACAGTGAAATGATCTTGAACATGTGAAATGTAAACAGTTATGATCTTAGTCATAAAATAAACAAAACAATCCAGCTCTATTCCAATAAATAATAATAATACTACACATATTGATTATGATAAAGTGAAAACAGCATCATTGGTCAGTTTTGTCACTCAGTATGTTTGAAATCAATTCACAGTTGACCAGTTAATGCTCCACTTAACATTGTGACTTCCCTGTGTGCATTTTAAAGCTGATTTGGCAGCTCTGGTTCCCTCAATGTGGAGCCAGGTTGTGACCCCTGTGTGCATGTCGGGCTGTGGGCCTGAGCTCTGGGACTATCCAGTGTCGTTCAGGGAGTTTGGACTGTACTCTCTGCTTTATGGGAAAAGGAGGGAGGGAGGAGGGCCAGAGAAGTGTAACTCAGTAATCCCAGGCTGCCACTGCAGTTTTACTTGTAGTTGCGGTTGGACATGTTTGCCATAGATGATCCGTCAACTTAACGAATCAGACCATCTGTTTGAGGGTTTTATGGACTAATTCTACCTCTGCAGGTTTGGGGAAATTTACCATGGTTGGCTCGACTCTAATGTGCTCCCATCTTTTACTGGAGTAAAAGTACCAATGGCCCGATGTATAAATTATCTGTAATAAGTAAAATCCTGCAATCAAAAGTTTGCATAAGTAAAAGTACCAAAGTAATAGAATCAGAAATGAAGTACCAAGAGTAATGGATGTTATATTATCTGAATATAATAACTGCTGCAGGTGGAGCTCATTTTAACCACTTTATTTACTGCTGCCGAGTCCCCAGTTTCTGAGAATGCAGTGTTTCCACGTGTAATAAAGATAAAGTGTCCTCAATGCAGGTTATATGTATCCAAAACAGTTAACAGTTAATTAGGGAGATTGATTTTAAAAACAGAATACAGGAAACAATTCCAAAATACATTTGAGAAACTTTGTGTAAAATAACCTCTGTGAAGTTCTTACCAGGAAGGAACAAATGTTTGCGACCGATCTCATATCCTGACCGAGGTGATTTCATATCAGCAATCGTATCTTTTATTGACTGTTAGGTTAGGTAACAACAGCTTATCTCCTTCCTTCTTTATATGTTCTGTTTCAGGTAAAAGTCTTTTACAACATCTGGCTGCGGCTCTTTTGTGGCTCTAATCTGTCTCTGTATTGTTTAATATGATTCTTGTGTAGGTGCCAAAAGAGATAAGTGGTGTTTGAGTCTGCTCTATGGCATAATTTAAAATGTACCGTTTTCTCATCCATGTTAAAGTTGTCAAACCTAAACCATGTCCATGCGACAAACGTTGCCTCTCTTTGAGGTACAAGTTCCCCTGTTTGGCTTTGTTATTCAGAGTCCTCTCGCACTTGACCTTCCCCTAGCACTTTACTCTGCAGTGTGCCATTCAAGCTGCTGAAGTCCATATATCAAAAATGGAAATGTACAGAACATCCTTTTGCACTCATTGCATTGATACTGAAAATGTGTCAAATCACAAAATGAAAGCATAAATAAAATCTTCATTACACCATTACAGTACAAAGTTCCCATTTTAGGACCTGCAAACATTCAACAAAACTCCAGTGTCCAGCATCTACTCATTAAGACATTGTCAGTGAAGTCAGACAGAAGTTTAATTCTTCATCCTTTGGTGTTTATCTCCTTGATGGACTATTTGGAAGAATCCAGTTGCTAAACTCTCTTAAAACTGATTCCCTGAGGATCGCAGTTGGACAGGATGAATGTCTCTGTGCCACAGCAGCTCACCTCACACACTGACACCAGGATGAACCTAAACCCCATTACAGGTTCCTGCCCTCTGCATCTTTTTTCAGGTCAGGATACTGTGGAGTCTCTGAGTTCTCTCCTCTGGTCTACACATTGTAGAGTCCTTGAAAGACAGATGATTAAAAGAAGCAAACATTTTAAAAGGAGTGGATATAGATTTTCTGAAATTTCACATTTGTGGAGAATTTCTACCTCTTATAACAAGAGAACACCAGTAAAATAAAGAAAAGACAAGTTACTGAGACACAACCAGACTCACCCTATTATTCCAGCGGGGATGAAGAGGATGATGGCAGCAAAAAGGAAGGAGAAGCCCTTCATGAAGTACAGGGTGGCCGGGTACAGCGAGTTGAAGACACCACTACCCACCAGAAAACATAAGCTCTCCACACAAGCAACAGAGGCAAACAGGGCACCTGCAACAAAACAAAAACACACACATTTATCTACACAACATGTCCCTCTGGTTAAAAGGAACATGTGCTGCAAATGAAACAGCAACTGGTGCAACACTGTTCTACATATGGTTCACTGACTAATTCAAACAAAACACAGCTGTGCTGCCTCACAATATACTGGTTAAATATTATCGATACAGTGAGCTGTGCCAAAAACAGTTGTTTTTGCAGTGTTTAGACGTGATCGGCAGCTGACCTTGCTCTGAAGGGTCCACCAACTTCGACAGCTTCGACCTAAGAACAGGTGTCGAGGCCATGAAGAGGAAACACAGACCATAACCTGGTGACACAAAGTGACATATTTTTACTTTGCAGCTCAAGTAAACCGATCAATATCAATTAAATAAACAGGAGTTGGTAATAGCACTAGTCTATACAAGAGATATATATATATATAGGATAATCCCAGAAAAGATCCAAATAGATAATCATGGGATTAGATTTTGAATAGAATAATTGAATAAAAACCTTATTTTCAACCACCATAATACTAACAAGGAAAGCTGTTTACAAAACATCTGGATCATGAACTCCAGAGCCTCTCACCTGTGAACATGAGTTGTATAGTGTCAGCTACAGAGAAGACCACAAGCCCGGTAATGTTGGAGGCCAGACCCACAAGAGCCACCCAGGAGTCTTCCAGGCAGCGCTGCATGATCTTCAGCCCCAGCAGACTGCTCAGGTAGGCCAGGTGTTGAGCTGCTGACCCGTAGCCAATGAGGGCGGGCCCCCAGCACAGCGGAGAGCTTAATTCGTACAGCACATACAGCTCCCTGCAGCCGGAATGTACCATCACCACCAGGAAGAAGCTCAGTGTGTAAAACCACAGCTTGCATCTCTGAAACCCTCCACCATCCTCACTGCTCCTGCCGCCTGCTGAGTAGAGGCGCCAGATAGCTTTGTGGTGGCGAGTGGTGAGGAGCTTTGCACTTGGGTCTGGCAGGACAGTCTCTTTAACAAACAGGTAAGCGTACAGAGCGGAGGCCAAGTTGGTGGCCAAGACCAGCCAGAATGGGTTGATGTACCTAAATGCAAGCATTAACATATAGTAAGGATTTTGAGTCAAATCAAAGTGCACTAACTTGACTGACATTTCTTACCCTTGTGCACGCCGCCACTGCCCCCCGATAATGCTGGCCAGCATCCCTGAAAGACCCAGACAGGCCTCCAGCACTGCCACCCGGAAGGTGCGGGACTTCCTGTCACTTGTATCAGCCACATATGCAAAGCACCCTGCCAGGATGGCATTGAAATCACCTGAAAGGCCACTCAACATTCTTCCCAGCAGAAAGTAGACCACCGGCAGCTTCAGGTACATCACTACGAGGTAAACTACTGCCTGCAGTGCCAGGCCAAGGTTAGGGAGGATGAGGACTGGCCTGCGACCCGCGAGGTCACTCCATGAGCCCAGGAGAGGCACCACCAACAGGCCAACAGAGAAGCCTGCCAGACTGATGTACAGGTTCCAGTGGGCTGTTAGGGTTTCCACCTCCTGATGAATAAAACAAAAAACAGAGGGCAGGGTGGAGATCATCATCATCATTCTTGTCAGGGAGACTTTACAGATAAACACAGTAATAGTTTTGTCAAAACTGAAAACAGATTTGTTTTCTTTTTCCCCATCTAGAGATTTTGACGAAAAACCATTATACTTAATAATTATGGAACATATAAACCCACAAATATACAGCATCACAATGTTCTGTTTTTTTCTGTCTGCCAATCTATATTCTTTTGGAGTTTTTGATGAAGGCCCACTTTGGAAAGCCACAGGATTTTAAGTGGTTCTCTGAAGTGCCACTTCACCTTACCTTTGGTCCTTGTGGGTTTGTTTTATTCTCAAATTAAGCACCCTCAGATCACATGAAAACAGGTCGAGACCAAAACCACACACACCACCTCAGGCCCTGTCCACACCTGGTATTAACATGTGGTTTTTGTGATCTGATCACATGTGGACAGTTCTGAGTGCGTGCGTTCACATAATGTTAGTTTTGTCCAAAACTTATATTCTATATGTGCAATTTTTACTTTTCTCTTCCAGATTCCAGACCACAGAAATATCTGCCAGCAGCACAGACTGAGTGTCTTGTACTGGGGTCACGCTGACATGTGGCTGTGATACTGGGTATTTACAGTGGCACAGACATGGACGATAAAACAACATCAGAAATCATCCTAATATACTTTCCAATATATAAAACAACAGAGATGTAACAATATATATCGATATCAACAGTGAGGAGGTAAACAACATAACTGATCTATTTGTAAAACACGTGTTTTCTCTGCTCACAAATAGTGATAATGATCAATCTCGACTAATCGACTATCGAATAGACATATCGATCAGTGCTGTAGCAGCCATACGTGACGATAGGACGATAAATAAATAGCCGTCAGCAGACGGAGGGTGCGGGGGTCACCTTCTGCAGAGGGTCGGGGGGCACGGAGCCGTTGGTGCACTCCGACCTCTTGGAGCCGTTGTACCCGAGGTCCTCGCTGAGTCTGTCCCACAGGTACTGGGTGGACAAAGGCGCCTGCAGGGCCAGAGAGAACATGGAGAGGAACAGCACCGGTTCCACGGACACCGGCGGCAGCAGCGGCCATGAGAACCGGGGTCGGGGCTCGCAGCTCCCGGTGGTGGTGGTGGTCGGTACCTCCGCTTCTTCTTTGTGGCCGAACCAGTCCGAAGTTGGGTCTTCCTCTGCGGATGTAGCATTGAGCACATCAGCGGGAAGAATGGCTGCGGTGTCCGACTCCTCCATGTCGGAGGAACTGTAAACATGAACTGTGAACTTCTCTGACTCAGGGTTCACTGAGGATTCACACGCTAACCAACCAGCTAGACACGATCGAACGGCTAACTAGCTAAGCATGCTAATGCTAGAAGAGTTGAAGAGTTAGCGCTGCTGGACTTTGAGTTAGAGAAGTGAACTTATCCAGCGGCTCCGCTCCATGGAGGAAGGGACACACGTTCCAGCCGTGATTCAGCGACACCACCTGGACGAAACGGTCAACTACACTTCAGATAGACTGATAGATGGATAGATAGATAGATAGATGTGCATAGAAAATAAATATAGAACTGTGTTAAGTTAACCTGTGCTAATCGTCTATAAAAAAACTAGATATAATATATATATATATTGGATGTCATTGGAGTTGATATACAAATTCAAGTGTGGGCACCCTGACACCTCACAGAAACTAAGCTCATGTCTGATACTCATGCACACACGTGCCTTTATTCAACCACACAATAAAACTAAGAAGTTGTGAAAACGACTAACGAATATTTCAGTATTTTTGTCCATACCTTAATTATCTGAGCATATGGTCTGAGCTTACTTTTGTTTTTTAAGGTCACCTTATATACCTAAAATGCTTAGTCAATGGCTTTCTTTCATACCAGATACAAAAATCAAGATTTATACATTTGAAATAAGAATGTTATCTTTACTATTATTTAATCTAATCAGAATACTAATTGATCAACACAAACATGTATTGAAAAAACATTTTAACTAAGCCAGTTTACCTAGAAGGCTTTTTTTTACATCGGTAGTTTATTGTTTCTTTGCTGAATCTTATTATTGTAACTTCAGCTGCTAACATGAACACACCCCTTTACTGTTCAGGCCAGTTAAATAAAAATAATTACAGAGCAGGGATGAAAATGAAAATAGACACGAGTCACTTATGATGCTTGTCAAAGCAGGACTGCGTTAAGACAGGAGTGTTTATTTTGTTCGTACAAATCTTTTAGTTATAGACGAATAGTCAGTTTTCTTTGATAACAACTCAACTCTCTTCTCATCATAGGAAATGTGTGAATTGCAGCTTCCTCTGTTTGCATGGGAAGACAAAATACAGTAAATACAGTACAGTCTTTCTTAGTTCTAATATGTGATAATGAACTTCAATTTAATGCAAAAAGGTGATATGGATGTCTGATCGGGGTTTATATTAATGGTATATTTGTGGCAGAACAGTGTCATAGGAAATCAATTGTTTCTACAGTTGTGTTTTAACAGGACAAATAACTAAACACATTTTGTGACACTTTAAGAGGCAAAAAGTAAAGATAAATTAAAGTTTACAGACTTAGGTTAATCAGTCAAATTCTCTCAACTTAATTTCAATATAAAATACATATTAAAGGGAATGGGAGGTGGCATTCCAATTTCTTTTCTTAAATGTGAACCCAAAACACACCAATCATTAATTAAGAGAGTAAATACAATATTTCAATAAGTTCAAAATAAAGCCATATTTTTATTGATGTAAGGACATGGTATTAATTGCCAAAAGTGTCCACATCCACTTGGTCTAATTTCATGCTGGGGAAAAGGGTTGTACTTACTATTTTATGGTGTAGTATGCAATAAACTAATCAGAGAGCCATCCCGCTTTCACATTAAAAGTCAGGTAAGTTTGGACATTGGTTATATGATTATAAGATTGCTGTTAGAGGATTTACAAGGTTGTAAGAGAGAACATTTGTCTGCAGAGGAAACAAATCTGTATGTTTACATATTGTTCATCCACCTAGGTGCAAATTATTATCAATATCTACGCTTAAGATAACAGTGGAACATTGCACCTCTGTTTTGTTGGTCTGTCCCTCTCTGCTACTTCACGATAGAAATGCACCTGACCCCACCTGACCAATGAGACCAACACACCTTTTATTTGACTTGGTCACACTTACACTGATATATTATTTTTGTCACTTCAATAAAATATTAAAGGGGATTGTCTACAAATATATTGTAAGTCAAAAGTTCAATAACAAATGTCATATATAATGCTTTTTCCAAGCAGAGACTGTTTTCCCCTGTGCAGTAACATTTAGGGACTTTTGCCTGTGGAGTAATTAAATACAAACTCAAGGTTGTCTCACACACACACAGCAGAGGAACAATCTGGTTTGTCTGCATATCGGAGACATTTCATTGGAACCACATTGTTATTCATTAGTTACACCCACCTGAGCTATGTACAAGGCTTGAACTCTGTTATCTAATCGAATCTTTGTTTTTCTGTTTTGTTTCCTCGCCTCCTGACATGCACAACAACACCCTCGTCACTTTGTAGTCCCATACAGGGGTTAAGTTGTTATCTGGTTTATTTTGAGATATCTATACTTGATTCAATGCATCTTCCTCAATTTGATAATTATTGATTAAGTCTGATTAAATCTGACCTTAATCTCCCATAACTTAAAACTTATTTAAATTTTTTATACAGATTTATCTATTTATTTCATTTCTTTATCTCTTTTAATTGCTTTACCACTTTTATTTTGCTATTTTTGCTATTTCGCTCATTTGATATCTGTGGTGTTTTTAACATCTCTGTCTAACACCTTGAATTTACTGCTGTGTATGAAATGTGCTTTATAACTAAAGCTGCCTAGCTATTATCTCCCATTACGATGTTAAGTGTCCGCAGCTTTAAAATCACATGAATGTCTTTGACTGGATGTGCTAACCCTGTGATCGGTCCTGATAATAATAATGATTGTTTTGTTTGTATTAATCCTATACAGCTGACAAAGCAGCAACCGCATTTTATAGTCGAGATCAAAAGATTTTCTTTTTTTCTGTAGATCATTGCTCACGGTTTCTTACCTTATCTATCCCCTGCTAAACACATGGAGCCACACCCTCAACATGCAGGCCCCTCACTCTAAAGTTAATCGTTAATCTTTTTCCAGTATATAAACCGACTTCATATCGAACAGTCTTAAACATTGAAAAGTGGGATCACTAATTATTTTTCTCTCTTTGACTCAATACTGTGGATGTGCATCACACCTCCAGGACCATGGCTGGATTTCTAAAAGGTCTGTGGTGGTATAGGAATTACATCACAATCTTCCTGACGCCTCTTCTGCTTCTGCCTCTGCCACTCAGCAGTCCAACTCCAGTAAGAACATGTATACTTTTCTGTAAAAGAGATAATCTGCAGACAGGTTTTTGACTCGGATGTATTGTATAAGGATCACTTCTCTGATTGGATGATGCCATGCACTATATTAAGTCACCCCTATGAAACTTTCAGCCTTTACATTTAGCTGAATGAGTAGGTGTTTCTAGTGTCTGTTGTAGTTTTGGCTAGAAATGACTAGAAATTAAAATTAAGCAAGTGTGGCTTTAAAATGTACAAGTTTATATTGAGATGGCAGTGATTTGTTTGGGTAGATGCATGAAAAGTTGCTTCCCAAGTGCTGCAAGAATTCTAGACAAGTCTTTACTCATTACTTCTCCAGGTCAACCTCACTGCACATCTACGGGATCTGTGTGGTAGCTGGTCCTCCTTAACCCCTTTTACGAAAACATTGAAAGATCATCCAATAACAGACCTGACAATAGAACCTAGAGGTGCATTATCATATCTGAACTTTGACCTTTGGCCAAAGGTGGTCTGATACCAAAAACCCTTATGAACTACAATGTCACATGGCCCAGCAGTCCCCTTACATTCAGTCAAGCTGCACACAATTTCACAAACTCATAGATACATTCTTTAAATATGTCTAATTATTTCCCATCAAGATCCATGAATTAATCCATGAGAAAAAAAGTTCCTTGACCAATTATCCTTCCACCAAGTTTTGTGCAAATCCGTTCAGTTGTTTTGTGTAATCTTGTCTACGATCAAACAAAACAACCGATGAGCAAACTGAAAGGGTTGAAAAGATAATGTGACTAGACTATAAACACTGGACTCATTATGACTTGAATACCCCAGAAGCTCAACTAAGCCTCAGTGAAGTCTAGACTGACTACAAACACTAATGTGAGGGGTGAAGTCTCTCAGTACTGTAGATTCTCCCTGAAGTCCAGAGACTCTAAACTATAGATATTGTGCACGGTGCCCTTCATTCCCCACAACATAGGAAAGATTGAGCCCAACCTTCAGCAAATCAATTCAATGGGAATATTGTAGGTTCATCTCTGTAAATATTATTCTTGGTATTTTGAATGAAATGAGGAATCTATTTTTTTATATTCAAAATTTAAAGTAGTATGCTTTGATTATCATCAGAAAATGTAGTATGTTCCAGTTATAGAAGTGATTCTAATGTTGACTGTAGCTATGAGAGAATGTTGAACCAGGCTGACTGAGCTGTAGCAGGTTTATGGAGGTCTGAAAGTCTCTCGCCTGTTGTTGTAGTTTGATGTGTTTCCTCCGTCTGACTAGACATCAACACCAGAGCACTTGTAGTCACGTGTGTCAGAATTTAAGTCACATAATCTTCATTACAGGAAGCAAAATGTGGCTATGTGATAATCCTCATGGCGCTGTACTGGTGTACAGAGTGTATCCCCCTGGCTGTGACCGCCCTGCTACCGGTCATTCTGTACCCCATGATGGGCATCATGGCATCAGGAGAGGTATTTCCAACTGCATATTTATATTTTGCTTTTCACAAAAATATTTTCTTTGACTGGATCTGTTTTTATTTCCAAGAATTAGTTAAGGATATTTCTTTTCTTCTCTCACTCAGGTTTGTATCCAGTACCTGAAAGACTCCAACATGCTCTTTTTTGGTGGGCTGCTGGTGGCCATTGCTGTCGAGAACTGGAAACTGCACAGGAGGATCGCCCTTCAAGTTCTGCTCATTGTAGGAGTGAAGCCTTCTCTGTAAGAGACCTTATGCTGTTTATACAAACAAACATGTGCACTTACATATACATACTGCAGCTACCATATTTGAAAGTATGGGGACTCTCCTGTCTTTGTCACTCATGCTGCTGCTGACAGAATGTTTAGAATAAAATGATGCCTGACATTAACAAACTAATCAGTTTGACAAACTGTAAATATAGTAAATATTTCTCCAACTAATTTCAGTAACACATTTGAACTGATTACCAATCATTCTCATTTGCTGACTGTCCCTCAGCTCTTCTTTAAAAACAACCTAATATCTAAAGTCCTTTTGGTGGGAATCTTTTTCTCAGAAATTGGTGAACACTGAAATTTGACTGTAAAAACTTGATTTCCTCCAGTGAAGACATTTTTAATACTATGAAAACAAAGCTTTATTTAAAGGTTCAGTGTGTAGAATGTAGTGATATCTAGAGGTGAAGTTGAATACTCCTCATCTCACCCTCCCCTTCCCATCATGTAAGAGAACCTGTGGTGAACTTCAGTTGTCATGAAAATGCAAAAGGTTTTATTTTGTCCAGTTTGGACAAAAGTAAAAAAACATGGTGGCCTCCACAGAGAGGACCCCCCGCCATGTAAATATACCATTCTATGGTAAATGAAACACCAGTGAAAACATCACTAGGATTATTTTATATTAAATTTCTGCCAATAGATCCCTTTCACCTAAATCTTACACACTGGACCTTTAAACGATTAAGTTGACATGCTTTCTTCGACCATCACCTTATCATCTAACCATTTGTTCTGTGTCCTCTCCAGTCTGATGATTGGTTTCATGAGCACCACAGCCTTCCTGTCTATGTGGATCAGTAACACGGCCTCGGCAGCCATGATGCTGCCCATTGCTAACGCTGTGCTGCAGCAGCTGTGTGACACTGAGGCCAACGCTGACGAGAGGGATTATGCACATGGAAAGGACGGTCAGGAGAATCAGGCATTTGAGATGAGCGACTCGAAAGAAAACTATGACAAGGAGCTCAGACTAAAGGACAACCAAATCCACATCGGTGCGTGTTTGTTTATAACTGTGACAGTATTAATTTTTTTCTTTTTAAACTTTTCATTCACCGTACTTGTAAATTGTTATGTTAACTGTTGTTTCAATGTTTTTGCAGATTCAGATGATGATGATCACACCAAAGACAAGAAAATCAAAGAAAACAATGTCAATTCAAGTAGGTTTTCTAACTTTGACTTTAAACTAACTCGTTTAGAAAAATTTAATAAAATTCAGATGAAGAAAAGGAATAAAAGTGCAGGCCAAATAAATTATTATAATGGTTTTAAATACTAATCTTAACTCATCAAAGTGCTGGCTCTGTTTATAATAATGGATATTCTTCAAATAATCATTAGAATCATTCATAATGTCAGAAAAGCCCAGCAGCGACTCTGTCTTAAATAAATAAAATGTTTACAGACAGTGGTAAAGCCTGTAAGACCAAGCTGTAAATTCATGGCACAGCACAAGACACTGCTGAAGGTCTGAGCTCTGTCCCTCCAGGTGTTTGTGAGAGGAGTCCAGAGGCCGAGGAGCGAAGACTGAAGAGGGAGCAGTGGTACGAGAAGCTGTCGAAAGGCATGAGCCTCAGTGTGTGTTATGCCGCCAGCATCGGAGGGACAGCCACCCTCACTGGAACAACTCCCAACGTCATCCTGAAGGGCCAGATTGATGAGTGAGTATGACCTGCGCTCATGAAAATAACCGAGAAACAGACTACGCAAAAGCCTACACCCTATTTCATAATGGGTTCTTCATTGAGTCATGCCCCCCCGCACAAACTTCCATGGAAACGGGATCAGTAGTTTTTGTGTAATCTTGCTAACCAACAGACAAAGAGGAATGAAAACATAACCTCCTTGGTGGCGGTAATTACTGTTGGTGTTCCACTACCAAAGGATAAGTGATAGCTTCAACCAGCAATTCTAAACCTGGGTGTCCCCATCCCTATGAGGGTCGCAAGATCATTTCTGAGGGTTGCCAGATGATCTTGGAGAAAAAAATCATACAATACATTAAAAATTACATATTTTAGACTGAGGATTGTTTTTCCACTCCAGATTCATGTCAGCGCACAACAGCCTGGTTTAACCGGTGGGTCTTGTCTTGAAAATGTAAAGAACAACTGGCTTAGACAGCAATTTAGCATCAGTTGTAGATTTGCTCATCTATTATTAGAGTCCTGCAAGTGTTCTGTCATTTTTTGGTATCAATTTTTTTGTCTCCTAAACAGACTTTTTCCAAATAATGGAGATATCATCAACTTTGCGAGTTGGTTTGGCTTCTCATTCCCCAACATGCTGCTCATGCTGTTTCTGTCTTGGTTGTGGCTGCAATTTATGTTTTTGGGTTTCAAGTAAGTTTCATGAAGTGGAGTAATTCTCTGTTTCAGAGATTTTATTTAAACCAAAGCCTGAAAAGTATAAAAACATAATTTATTTTCACGTTGTGTTATTCCAGCTTCAAAAAGTCCTTCGGATGCGGAACAAAGAAAGTTGGTGACAGCGAAGCGTACCAGGTGATCAAAGACGAGTACAAAAAGTTGGGTCGTATGAGCTTCGCTGAGGGCTGTGTGCTTTCTATCTTCACTTTGCTGGTTATCCTGTGGTTTACGAGGGAACCTGGGTTCATACCGGGCTGGGCCAATGTCCTGTTCGGAGAAAAAAAGTCGTGAGTTCAATCATCATTTGTTTAACAGATTATGTTGACTCCACAGAGAATAAATGGTGGTGAACAGTCCACCAGGGAATCTATGGGTTCAACTTCTAAAAATATATCAATCAGTCGATTATCGCTGGCCTGTTGTATCTTTGAGTGCAGGTCCAGTGTCACTTGTTTGATTTAATTATTAAAAATCTAAATTACATCAATTTTAAATGAGTTAATAAGTTATTATGTGAACCAGATATTTTGAATCTTTTCTTATCAGGTTCATCACAGACGGCACTGTGGCCATATTGATGTCATCACTTTTCTTCTGCATCCCGTCCAATCTGCCCAGATGTTGGAGGAAGTCTAAGGATGGTAGGTCAAGTTTGTGATGACATCACATATACAACAGGTGCATTGATGTAATCATCTTTACAATAAAAAGACTTGCAACTGTTTCATGTGAGATCACACTGCCTGCTCAGAATTATAGTTCTATTTCTATTTCTTGTGCAACACTGATACAATTGGGATTAAAAGAACACAGGTCAACAAGTTTTAAGAGAAATTAAATTCCATATGTTTAAGGAAAAAGGAGCAGGAGCTTATTCTCTTATCAGTTTCAAAGTGTGTTTGTCTGGAAAACTGGATGGGAAGAGTTCATCCACTGTTGCATCACAGTTTTATGTTTGCGGCAGGTTAGGTCTGTCACATGAAGATAGGAGTGCAGTTTTATAAGCACATCTGTCCACTCCAAGATACAGTCAATAAAGTTTATTGCCTGTGACAACTTATCTCGCTGATTCAGTGCTTTCTAATAAATGTTATCCAAACTCCTTCCTGACTTGTAGCCTGATATCTCCAAGGTCAAGCCTGTGCAACAGCACATGCTGTGCTACTCCTTCCACAAACCACTTCTGTATCAACGATAACCTTTTCTCTCTTTGTAACTTAAGCTGAGCGTGACCTTCTTTCATATATAACGAGGTTTTTGCTCCTCCTTGAAGCGTAAAAGAGTGTTTTGTACACAGAGAGGCGACAATGATTGACACACACTTACATTAAAAGGTGTCATGCAGACTTCAAGGTGCCAAAGTCAATTTGTCACCTTGGACAAGAGAAAAATCTGTTAAAAAGTATGACTCCAGTTACAGCACCAGATTTTATTATGGTTTTCATGGCATACCACTTCATCAGGTTTCTTATCTTCACGGTGCGTCTTTAAAGTCTCAGTATCTTATCTGTGGACTGTAAAAGTTAATCTTTTCTACACTTAGGTTATAATAAATATCATAATATATGACCGTCCTAACCAATGGCTGAAAGTCAACTGTCAGTTTCTTTATTTTCTTCTTCTATATAGGAACCCCTGCTGAAGTCCCCTCTCCTCTGCTAACTTGGAATGTCGTCCATGAAAAGATGCCGTGGAACATCCTCTTACTTCTTGGCGGAGGCTTTGCGTTGGCCCACGGAAGTGAGGTATCACAGTTGATCAAGTGCACATTTTTTTTCTGAAGATAAATCTTTGTGTAAGTGTTTGGATGCTGATTTGTTTTTTCTCACCCTGGATAAAGAAATCTGGACTCTCTCAGTGGTTAGGAGAAACTCTCATTCCGCTGCAGAATATCCCTCCTTTTGCCATCTCCATCCTGCTGTGTCTGCTGGTGGCCATGTTGACTGAATGCTCCAGCAACACAGCCACCACCACTCTCTTTCTGCCGATACTGGCCTCCATGGTGAGACAGAAGAAGATACAAACTAATTTTTTAACTCTAACATTACAAACACCCGCTGCATACATAACTTTATAACTTATAATGTAGTACCATGTTGCCTGGAGAGTTTTACGCAATATTTTCCACAGAACATATCATAAATTGATTATTTTTGTTAATTGATCATGGTCTAGAAGGGCACATTTTTGTTAGGCACCCATACCTCTGCCAAGTCTTATTTTATTGCATGTTGAGATCAGATACATATAACAATGAATTGTTCTGCAAACTGCTCACATTTAGCACCAGCAAAAGATATATTCTCTTTTAGGAAGTTTGTTACTGTACAGTATCTGAACAAAGATTACCCTAATAAAAATATATATTTCCCAAAGGATTTACAAAATCCAAATCATCTATATAAGCACTCTACACATGCCTAATTTACATAATGATCTCAAAAATGTAAAACATCATATCTCACCAAATGAAAAACATTCCTAGATCTGCCCCCTGATGCAGATCCTCGCCAAACTATCTTCTACACAAACTTGTTTACTTTGCCCTTTATAAGCATAAATGCTATGTGTTTGTATACTGAAGCTTTTTGTGTGTGTTCAATCTATTTTGTTTTGTTTCAATCACAGGTTTCCTTTGAGAGAATTCACGTTTACATAAAACTTAATAAGAATTCTATTTATTTTCTTTTTACTGCTTGTAGACATAAAGAGCTATTGTCATTTTACACATTACTATGTGAGACCTATTATTATTATTTTTAATTGATCCTTTATTTAACTAAATGCCCAATTGTGATACAATATCTATTGTGCCCAGGAGTCCTGATCGAGATTGAGAGCAAATTCAATAAAAAAAAGATTGATATATAAATACAAGCAGGAACAGATAACAGTAGTAACAGATAAGTAACAGTAATGTTTAGACTGAAGCACTAAACAGACAGAAACATATGGGAATCAATGGTAAAAATTGATTATGAAAAATTAAAGGCAATGACATTGTATGAAAACTGATTTTAAAATATATCTACTTACCGAAATCTCATCAGAGTGAATGCTCTATTTTCCAGGCAACTGCCATTAAGCTACACCCGCTGTACATCATGTTTCCCTGCACCATCGCCGCCTCGCTGGCTTTCATGCTGCCCGTAGCCACGCCACCCAACGCCATTGCCTTCTCCTACGGCAACCTCAAAGTTATGGACATGGTAAGACTGTTCAGAAAAGATGGAAAACCTGAAACTGTGTTTGTTGACATACACGCACTGTTTTGGATAATGGCTCATATCCAGTTTCTAGATAAGCAGCTTATAATAATCCCTATATCTGATCATTATAATGTATTTGTATTCAGACAGTATTCAGAGTATTTCCATGGAAATAGCTCAGGGGGACTTAGCAGCAAATGCTATGTATATGTAGCTAGATGGTATTAATATTATTAGATTATAAAACCCATTATGTTTGTGTTGACAAAACCTTGCACAGGGGTCCAAATATAATATAATTTGTCTCTTCATTTCAGGCCAAGACTGGATTCATCCTGAACTTTGTCGGTGTCCTAACCATCAACCTTGCTATTAATACGTGGGGTGTGACCATGTTCAAGCTGGATACGTTTCCCTCTTGGGCTAATGTCACCAAAACTCCATGAACATGAGCTCAGAAAAACAGAAACAGTGGAGAAAAAAAGAGGGGAGATGAACAATATCTGCTTATTTATCAGGATTCCACCACAGGAAGACTGGGTGAGCAGGTGCCTTGCTATTTTTTTATTTTAACGCTGCCCCACAGATTCCAGCCAGAACAGCCTGATGTGCACTGAGGCCTGTCCCTGTAGGCTGAAACAGGTTCCTCTCTGCAGCTTTCTGTCTCATATCCTGCCTCACACTGTGAGCTGTGTGCTCAGAAACCAGTTGGAAACACTGGAGCATCTTTTTGTTCATGTTGTGACTGAAGTGAGTTCAGTTCAGTTAGATAATTTATCTTCTGGACAGACAAAAAAACTGATCATGAATGTAATTCATATCCAAGACTGACTTGGTCTGTATTTTACCGACAAGAAATTGTATTTAAAATCCAGTGTTCTTGCATAAAAACAAGGAGATTGCTGTAAAGATATATTGTGGCAATTGTTTATATTGTGAGTTCATTGCATCTGTAATAAAGTGTTATACTATCCTAATATAATAAACTTAAGTAAAAAAATAATAATTTGCAAACATTTACTTGTACTACTATGTGAGACAGTGAGTAAGAAATATACATTTTTCCAGTACTTTACAAGAGTCACAAAGTGCTTCACAGGAAGATAACATTTTAAAATCAGAGTTGTACAGGTTCATACATAAATGTTAAATGGTCTGAATTTATATTGCACTTTCAGTAGAAAGCATGAAACAGCTCATTCATATTAATTACTTTCAGATCTGTTTGAAAAGATCTGTCTATATGTGCACTTGTTATTAAACACAACGGATGGTCACCTGTAGGCAGTTTGATGGGGGATGATGGGGGATGCCATCCCCTTTAAACCAAAATGACCAAAGAACCACCCCCACCCATTCTCATCCACCCATCTGCTATGGGAGTGAGAGAGAGTGCTACCTGTCCAGAGAATTTGTGTGTGCTAGTGAAAATCCTATACTTAATTCTGCTTCACAATTTATTTTCAAAAGTTTAAACCGAATGGTTTCGAATAGAACAGGAGGACAGGGCTCTTTGCCTCGCACTTCCTCTCTCTCTCCCTCCCACACAAACACACCGACTGACATTCTGTCACAGTCAGATTGATCCTCAGCACAGGGAAAACTGCTACCCACGTCAAGGGCAGGTAAAACACCCATAAAGATTTTACTGTCCTCGGCAGGCAGCCAGGATTCTGCATAAACTTGGCAGATTTCACTATGCACTTTCACACACACCAAACATACATTTCTCTACTGCAGGGGCATCACTATTACTATTAAAAATTACAATTACCTTATTATATATAAACAATCATTGTCTTTTGAGTGAAGACACTCTTCAGCCTTTATACTCTATGAAGGCTGAAGAGTCTTGACACAGGGAACAATAAACATCGCTACTACTTTAACTGGATGCTTATAGAAAAATACTAACACTTTACTGCATTCAATTTTAGTCACTCAAACTATTTTCTGATGTTTGTCAATGACAGAAGAAAATTGATATTTTCAGTGGTACACTGTAGTTTTGGCTGAGACTGTTAAAGTTAATGATGGCCTCAATCTCATTGCCTTCCATAGGATTAGGACTACAGGGGTCGCCGATTGATTTAAAGAGATCCAAGAGAACAGGAGGCAAATCCTTTCAAAGGTCAATGTGGGAGTAATGTAAAAATAATGATGGGAGGTCACAGAAATCAAGAACTGACTGAAAACATTTGATTGAACTTCTTATCATGGGTCCGTATATCTGCTGTATGCAAGGGGATTTTAAAGTTATGAATCTACAGCACACAGAGGTCATAGGAGTCAGCAGCCATGCAATCCAAAAACATTTTGGGTTAATCTAGTGACTGTTCCTCTTGTGGAGAGTGAAAGATGGAATCAAGCAACGAAACAACATTAAAACTATCATTCTCTCTTTTGGTAAATTAGTTCTTACAGTGATGGAGGTTGATGGAAGTGTGTTGGACGTCCGCTATTGGAGGTAAGACATCTTCTGTCTTACTTTTGACTACTGTATTTTTCTTCATGTGTATGTGTCTCACTTGTATTGTTATAATGCAGCAGTATATTTTCAACTCAAAAGCTCAGGGGGACTGTCAGTACTCGGTCTAAGTTACAGACCTTGTGTAAGAAGTATTAAGATTTGAATCAATGTGATGCATCTGAGCTGTACCTATATTTCTGATATAATTTGTAGTAAGGGACCTGAATCATTTGAGTAGCTGGGTATTGTTAATACATCGTACTAAAAAGTTATGTGGGTTGACATATCCCTGGGACAGGAATAGTATTAACTAGTAGTATACAGTACTTTGATTGTGTAGTATGTTCCTGTGGTGTAGCCTGTTTTGATTTGCTTCTCCACTGAGGGGATTAGTAACACTATGAGCAAAGGTTAAAAATGCTAAAGATTCTAATCACATCCTATCTCGTGGTTGTAAATAATGCTTTTGTCAATCAAAATGTTGCTCTGTGAACACGGCAGCAATATCACGAATATTTAAAATGACAGTTTTTGATAACAGATCAAAGCAAAAGTCACTGATCAAGCAGAAATGTCAAACATGAGCTGGTTCATGCTTTTCAAATGTGTTTACTTGCTGCTTGGTAGGTTTCTTATAATACACTGATAACTGTTGGGGAATTGTGAAGAAAATAGTCAGACTGAGGTCATATGGTTGCTATTTACAAACTCAGAAAGCAAAGTTCTGTGATTTTGCTGATCATGTCCAATCGTCAAAGGATTATCTTAAACATGGTTGCCATGGCAGCAAACAGGAGGCACGATAAAGAGAGATGGACAGTTATGGTCACATCTTCGCAGTCAGCACTGCACTGGCATAGTTCCTCAGAAACACACCTACCTTGGCATCCTGATGGCTGAATGGTTAGATCTCACAACACACGGGCACACACTCTGGTCATCTCCCACCTGGCCAGACCATGTCACCTTCATTCCTTTCTCTCCTTCACTGATCAAATGGATCATTAAAACACACACCCATCAAGTTTGAAGTTGACTGGATGAGGGGTTAAAAGAGAGGTAAAGACAGAGATGATGGACAGAAAGACAGACATATTTCTGTGTTTATTGCCAAGATATAGGCTGCTTCACTCTGAGCCAAACTGTGAGGTATGAAGTGATAAATCTCAGCCTCTCACTGCCTCAGGGACAGAGGTGTGTTTTCCTCAGAGTTTTCAAAAGACATTCATAAATCAGTCTTTCTAATTACATGAAATATGGAATTTGATCTTACACCCATACCATTGCTTTATGAATAATTTTATTAGAGAAAATCCATATATCTCCACCGCTTTGAGGGTCACCAGGTGAGTACAGGGATTATGTAAGGGGCATGCGCAGGGGAAGGTCAGAAGGAAGGCAGTAAACAGATAATTTAGAGTCGCCGATGTTCATTTTGAAATTAGTCAATAGGAGAAGATACTTGGAGATGCATCAAAACAACTGCGTGCACAAGTCAATGTGTCTAGATGACTCTGGAATGGCGAGATGCTGATTTGCATAATATGTCAGAATATAAAGTGCGTTCTCAGATATGTGTCAAGAGTCATTATGATTACATCTTCCACTGGCATTAACTGTCACCATGTCATACATTGTTTCTTGGTTTTTACTGTGGTGTCTTCAAAATGCATTAGAAGGCTGGTATCTCAAATTAAGATTCATCCATGTTAAGGTTACCACTGACTGGAAACTCACCGTCACTGCTTATAAATTATAAAAGGGTCAATAACGTGTTCAAGCGCTGCACAACATGATATTGCAACCGAGAACGCCTGAGCATTGGAGCAATTATTTCCCAGAAGACAATGAGACTTTCACCTAAGTGCCCCCTGGAATCTCTTCCCACATTACACCCTCCTCAAGAACTCCGTCTTTGGCAGAAAAAGCCTTCGGCAGGAGCCTCGCTCTGTAGAGGCCTTGCACTGTAACACAAGAGTTTATTCAATCTGTAATTAATCCTCCGTCTCTCTGTCATTCTGCCTCGCCCTCTCACTGAGGACAGGGTTTGTTCAAGGTATAGCTATGAGCAAAGGGTGCTGATGTTTTTCTGGTTCATCGGGAGGATAGGATAGGAATCTACCTGTATTGACATACCTCTACTCCCTCTCCCTCTCTCGCTTGCCTCTTATTTCTCTGCCTTTTGAGCTTCAAACCTTCGCTGTGAATGTTTGAAGAGAGAGAAGAACTGAAGTTTGAATTTATCAAGAAAGAAGAAATGCATTGCTGTGGATCATCCTAAAACGTGTAGGACCTGTCTGATGGTTTAAAGTTTATGGATTATAGTTTGACTTCACGGCCTGCAGACCACAACAACCTGATGATAGGTACGTCCATCAATAGTGACATTAACTCCAGCTTCTCTTGAGCAGTGTTAGTATGCTTCAGCTGTAAACGGTGCATTTTTGCATGCTCCAAACGCTCACATGCTCCCGTCTGTGTTTACATGTGCACATGTTTGTTTGAATGTGCATCAGTTAAGTGGAACTAGATCACATTTGAGACTGCCACCGCCATGGGCGAGCTCAGAAACTAGGGCACAGTGCCCACTCGCTCTCTGCCATGGGCTGTAATCAGTAGTGTATCTTATGTCCCACTCAGACAAGTAACCATTCAGTGAGGCAAAGAAAGAGTGATGGAAGGAGGAAGGGAAAGGAAGGGAGCGCTGCCAGCTGCCACTGACTGCATCGGCAGATCTTTTTTGGAACCTGCTGGAACAGGTTTTTCTTTCTGTATATGTTATTGCTGGGCTAGCCTGGACGAGTGCCACACACACACACACACACACACACACACACACACACACACACACACACACACACACACACACACACACACGGAATTAGGATGATATTCCGAGCTGCCAAAACTGGAATCCAGCCCATCACCCAGCTCGGTACACACAGTATTTAGACAGTCAATCTAATCAAAGTGGCTCACTGTCAGGGCGAGGGAGCTGAAGATGTGGACAGACTGACAAGCTGAAACTACAAACCGGAGCAGAGTCAAAGGTTAGGTGAGTTCATTTAAAAGGTTTTAGTTGTTTTTGCTCTGATATAAACTTATTACCTAAATACGATTACAACTTTTTGCCCCGTGTTTACGGTGGAACATTCAGACACATTGCAGCAGTGTACTGTTCTGTACTGAAACTGTTGGCACTGCTGCAGGTGCTGACAGCTGGTTCACCTCTCTGAACATTTGAGTGGCTTCTCATGTCACTGTCAGTATATAATGTTGGTAATTATGCTAAAGTGAGCAGATACACTTGTTCCTGTCTTCTGATAGTTAAGAACATAAAAGATAATTAGCAACTTCATTAACATTTTTGTAAAACTTAGTTTGAGGTGCACCACAGCCCCATGTTTCGCATGGGAAACATGGGGCTGTGATTCTGTCACTAATGACAGACTCTATACTACGCTACACTTTGTACAAATAAAATCAGTTTAGTAATTAAATGAACTTAGAAGTGATTTATTAGCATTTAT